CGAAATAGTTCCGTCACTCATCCCTTTTCTCGAGACGAGACATCGTCCAAACGATAGTCTTACAGAGGCTGTTCGCACATTTTTTAGACGATTTTGGTAAGCGGTAATAAAAAATCGTTTGCTGCAAAAGAAGTAATTGCAATTGCACTATGTTTTTAAAACTCAAAATTATCGTCTGTGGCTTGAAAGTTTTGTTTTTATTCAAAACGGCGAATTTAACAAAGCAGTGGTTCGAAGGCTACATTTACGCTCTTTCCGAAGAGAAATATGCATACTCCGTTATCCAGAAACGATGTGAGAGTCATGGTTTTGTTATATCTAAAGCGTCGATAGGTAAATCATCAACAAGAAAGGAAAAAAAAAAACGTCAAATTGGAGCCTCAAGTGGGACAAAAAATTCCAAACAAGTATCCAAGGAAAAAAGGACATCTTCGTCTATGCAAAGGTACGTTGTTTAATGTTAAAGAAAAAATCCCCTAGTCAAAGGACAGTTGCAAAACCATTAAAATGCTCGGTGTCCACTGTAAACAAAATGATAAACGTTGATTTAAATCTAAGAAAGCGAAAGAACGCAATGTGCATCGTCTTCTTCCAAAGCATATCGCTCGACGCAGGACACGCTGCAGAATTTCTATATGAGAAACACGCATCCAAAGAAAAATGGAAAACAATTGTCACAATAGATGAAGCATGGGTGTATTTAAATGATTGTAACAAAAAAAGAGCCATTTATTATCATAAAAGGGGAGAAAAAATTTAAGTACATGGTTCAGAGAATCGAAAGAAAGTTTTTCTAAGGGATTCCTGATTGTTGCTGGTTTTTCTTATAATGGCAAGTTAAAAATAAAGAGAGGGCAAAAAACATGTCAAGATTAACTCCAAATACTATCAGGAATATATTTTATAGCAATTTTCTGAATGAAAATACCATCGCTTTACCCACAGTTGCCATCCATCTGTGAGACTCCTCAGGACAAAGCTAGCAGTCCACACATCAAAATCCACTGTAAATTTCCTAAAAGAAATGGAAAAAAAACTGGTATCAAGGCCATACCCTTCACTGATATCCCTACTTAATCTCCCGATGTGTCACCTATAGATTTTTGTGCTTTCGGACTTTTAATAACTGCATTATCCCAACGTTGTCCCAAAACCCTAACAGGACTCTGGAAAGCTGTTCGGGAGGAATGGGATAGAATACCTCTTCTGCTACTTCAAAAGGCATTATTATCCTGGAAATTGCGGTGTCGAAAGCTAGTTCAGAATAAGGGATGTCAAATGGAACATTTAAAACACAAGAAATTTATGTAATTTAGTTTTTTGAATACAATATACATCGTGTAAAATATGTGTGAACAGCCTCTGTATTTTGTTTTATCTATTTCTTTCTGCAGTTCGTAAAAATAGCATTTTACGAAATACTAAACATGGTCCAGTTTTCTATTTTTTAGGTTTCAAAACTTAATACATTTTTATTTAGATTTTCTGCGTAGGCTATAATTTTTTCGCCTGCAGCATAAGCATTTCTATCTGTACATTATTTTTATGCCAGTTTTTGTTTTCGTTGTGAAATTTTTGAACATCGAAAGCAGAATAATTAAAAATTAAAACTGAGTTGTGGCCAACATGGAGCAAATACCATATGGCTCCGAGAGGTGGTGGCCTGTTCGACAAACTTCTTGCTTCTCTGAGACCTGCCGAGTTTCGTGGCTCGATTTCTTCTCGGTGCATACATTTTTTGGTGACAGAGTGTATTTTCTCCACTAGTCACTGTCTTCTCAAAAGCAGTCCGTTCTTTCAGTATTTTAAAAATACGCCACAGATGGAATCTTGATCTCAGTAGTAGTTTATCTCCAAAATATTATTTGAAATTATCGTAGTGAGTGACTCTGTTAGCTTAAGAAAATATTTACCATCGAATGATGCTAGCTACCATATGTTAGGTTGAATGCTTCTGTTTAACACAGTGTTGCTTCACAAGACTTCTCCTAGATTTGTATAAATGTTGTCCTTCAGCAGTAAGAAGTAGGGAATGCATAAAATGGTTTATTTTATCTTTCTTTCAGCATGTCGCTAAATGTTCATATGTATACATTGTGTTAATGAAAGAATAGTGTTTTAAAATGTCAGCAAGTTGAGCTAGATAACCTGTTTCGATCTTTGCCATTAGAATAAAACGCGCACTGACACTTTTCGTCTTCTAGGTAAAGAATCCTCTTGCTCACTGTTCTGTACCACAGGATTTTCATATTCATTTTTTATTTATATATAGCTTTGTTCTAACATAGGTATTTTGACACGAATTCGGACTTTTTTCTTAAATAACATACTAAATTTTTTCACACATTTTGATTCTACGACTCAAATTATGCCTAGATATTAAATTTTGTAATATTTGGTGAGAAATTTATGGAGAAATTTAAAAACTTATCTTGGCGAATTTTTTTCAGTTTGCGCCAAGAATAATTTACTTGGCGAACTTCTTAATTTATAGCAACCTATTTTCCTTTCCTTTTTCTTCATTGTCCACGAGCGGAAAAATTCATCGTTCTTACTTTCAAATAATTTTAACAATGTGCTTAAAACACATTTTCGTTATTAACGCTTATAATAACGCCAAATTTCAAAACGTGTCAAAATGTAAATTCACATATATCTCAGGAAATTTTGAATAAGAAACTCTCATTTTTTGCAGGTATCGTTTGAAATTCATCTATTTTAATAGGATGGCAAAACTTTTACAGGTCATAATTCAAAACGTTTTCGAAAAATTTATAAAAATTATTTTAAAATAAATCATAAAAAATGAATAGGTTTTATGTGGAATGAACCTTAATTTCGAAATATGAAAGGAAGTCTCAAATAAGTTTGTAAGAACTCACTTGCTTATCTTCTAAGTGACAACTGTACGTGTAGTAAATGAGTGTAGATACTACACAGTGTACCCTTTATTAAACTCTTTAAAATTCACAGTGCGTCAATTTGACGCTAACACACTGCGCCTCACTCGGGAAGTAATTGAAATAGCAAGAACTAACAATTAATGCAGAGATAGAAGCTCACTCTACAGAGGAGACAGCGACTGTCCAAAACTCTCTAACTTTGATACGTTGATAGAGAGGTAATTATACAGGGGTTCTTCTGCGTTCGCAGTACTTCTCTGTAAACCTGAAGGAAATCCACAATGGGCATGGTGTTGAAAGGTTCCTGGATGAATCCCATGGAGGGAACAGGGAGAGGGAGGAAAAAGAAGAAGAATATCTCAAGTAAGTCCCTTGAAAACTGGTGAGGGAGTAGAAAATAAAGTTCAGAAGCCGGCCGAGGTGGTGATCTCTTTGCGTGTTGCCATCTGTGGGTCTCTAACTTTCCCCCTAGAACTCGGAATTTAAACTTTTTTCCTCAAGGTAAAATTGGCATTACTTCACGCACGCTACCAAATTTAAATATTCTGGCATTGACAATTAGGGGAATGAAGACTTATAGGAAAGAATATAAAATTAAATTAAATTGGTTATTTAAAATAAATATAAATCCCTACAAATTTAATAAAAAAAGATGTTAATAAATATATATCAAATTCAATTAACAATGAGGGGCTAAAATTTCGAGAGCTAATTTTTTAAAAACTACTCGTTCGATTTTTGCAAAACTTGGCAGTTTGGCATAATTTGAGTCGTAGAATCAAAATAAGGAAAACAAATCGGCATGTCGTTTCAGAAAAGTCCGATTTTGTATCAAAATACCTATATTAGAACATTGCTATATATAAATCGAATACATATCCTAAGTCGTGCTTTCGAAACATGAAAAACGCAAGCTGAATTACATCAATAAGCCCAGTAGAACGGAAGATATAGAACTGTCTCTTTTTTTTTTTCTGTGCAGTGTATACCCATACCTCGTTTATCACATACATCTTTTATGTAACCAATTTACTCGGATCGGAGAGGACGGCACGTATGACCAATCATAATTAAGATTTGCAAATATAAAGCTTAAGTTCAGAAGCAAAACTCTCTTATTTTGTAGGAAATTTAACGTTGATTTTCTCTTTCCAACGAAAAATGAATTTTTACATTGCTATTCTACTTCTGCTGTTATAATGCAAAGAAAATTTGACAAGAAGATTTCTTTGAAACTTATCAGAAAAACTATTTCTAAAAACATGAAGGTAATTCGGTCTCCAAATACACTTTAGCTAGTGATATGCATTTAATATACGTAAGATGTGTAAAGCTTAATGAACTATTTTCATAAATTATTTTAATTGTGCATAAATTTTAATCTTCGGAAAGGCGTATTGTTTTTCTTCACAAATAAAACTTGTATAAGCAACACTGACGGATAAGAAACGATAAAGATTATGACGGATAAAGATTCTAGAAGCATCCAATTAGCAAAACGTTGCTGTTTCGCGCTACATAACTTCTTTAATATATCTGCCACGAGGCTTTACATTTAGACTGTTCTCACACTATTGCTATTGGGCAACGTAAAAGATCTTTAATTTGCTTTTCCCATTTGATCAATTTTGTTATAAATTAACAAACATAGTGATTTAAGAACACCATCGTAGATCTTAGTAACTCACATCTTTATTTTATAGAGTATATAATTGATGTAAATTAAAATGTTTTTATATTAATTATTTCCAACTCATCAATTTCAAGAATGTTTTTACAGACTGCTTTTACAATTAACAAAAGATATAACCAATGGCATATGTTATGTGATTGGATAATTTCAGAATGTGTCATGTGTCACTTTTAGGAGTTCTAATGTAATGTGAGGATTTGATGTTGCAGTTTTCTCTTTAGATATATTTTTAAACGTATTTATAAAGTTACAGTTAACATTCAATACAACTTCATATAATAAAATATATATTACTTTTTAAATAATCACATTTCTGCTTTCATTCGGTGAATTTGAAATTTCTATTGAATTTGTCACCCTCCTTAAATTAATTGGAAATGTACGTACGAAAAGAATAAGCAAACTTCGACACAACGAAACATTTATTGGACACGTCACGCGAGCTACAGAATGAAAATCCTCAGAATCGGATTTTCCAGTTGGCAGTAGATGGCTTTCGGAAGAAATGTTCATTGAAGATGGTCAGTAAAAAACTTCTGAATAGGCCAGAGCGAATCCCTTCCCGGAAATGCTATCATCAGACTGGAAGCGGATAAGAAGACGAAATCCAGATGACGTCATTTCAGGCGGGATCTGTAAAGAAGGAATTACTTGCCTCAAAATGTTACATAGATTGGTGAAAAACAGTTTATTTAATATTGATCATACTACATAGCATCTCCTTTTATTAGTTAAATGTTTCATTGATGAAATAATGATGAAATTAAAGCCAAGAAATAAATAAACAATTTAATTTTTAAAAATATCCAACAGTTTTCAGATTTTATATAACACCCAAAGAGGCGTTTTTCAATGTTTTGCCTATTCCCTTTATTTGTTAAATATTAGGTTCTTCGCAATTAAATCACATATAATTCAATTTAACAGCAGTATCACAAAACATTTAAAAACAGCATTTAGAATTTCCGATAGACAGTCTCGTGCACTGGAGATAAAAATGTGTTTTTTTTTTCCGTACAGTGTTGCCATTTGTTCTGAGCTCCATAACTTTTATTTGTTAACGATATTCAACAGCTGTTGCGTTCCTTTTTAGACAGAGTTTTGTTTTTGTAGTTTGGCAACAGTAAGAAAGATTAGAGTAATATTTTGATTTCCTTAAGTGTGTAAGCAAATAAAGTTTGGCTTTCTTAATCAAGGAAATGCAATTGTTTATTTAGAATATTTCTTTTCAAGTGTTATAGAATGGATTCAGATTTAATTTAAAGGCGAGAACGACTGAATGAAATAATATTCAGGTAGGTTTCAACGCAGCATCATTGTTCGCTTTGAAATCGTTGAGTTTGTTAATAAAAAATTCGTTAAAGTTTTACAAAATGAGAAATAGATATTAAAACAAATTCGAAATTCAAAATTCGGACTTCCAGGTGCTCGTGTTCGGGTGGAGGTTTACGTAGTTCAAAATTGGATGGCTCTAGGTACCGTCGCTTTTTTCACAGTGCGAAAAGCATAAATACAACCATGCAGATTCTTCATTATTTAATTTCTTTAAATATAATACAGGGCGATAACATTTGGTGACAATATTTTGGAAAGCGATTCAGACTTTTAGAGTGATTCAACGTAAAATGTCATTTCAGAATTTCTGAGCCAACACTCCTTTGGGCTCCACACCCCGAAGGCGCGCTAAGAAGGCAGGATAAATACCTTATAACGTTGTTCTCATTATTAGGCTTGACATGCGTATATTCGGGTTTTGAGGCATCTTGTGCGTTTTGTGCAGTGATTTTCGGCTAACTGACGATTAGCTTAGTATTCGTGGTGTAGTGGTCATATCACGTATTTCAGAGGTCCGTGCGGTTCGATTCCCGGTGAAAGCGTTACTCATTTTTCATCTCTCCTGTTTTAAATTAACTTGTCTACATTTTTGCTTACTGATTTTTAAATTATGGGATCCAGCGCATAAAGCATTTATTTTTGAGAAATTATTGAATGATCGTGGCGTTTATTGATTATAAGCTCTTAATATTGCATTTAAAATAATTAATTTGGCGGAGTATTCTAAAGTTTACGTTAAATTTGTAGAGACATTAGGATTTTTTGGAAGCAGGCAAGATGAAAAATTAGCAATCGCCTTCGCCGGGAATCGAACCATGGACTTCTGGAATACCGGCTCAGTGTGCTAACCGCTACACCGCAAAGGCACGCTAGGAAGGTGGGAGAAATATCTTATAAATTAATTAATTTCGTGACTTCGCGAAGGTTTTCAAACTAGATATAATACATAACAAAAGCATATTAAACGCTTACAACTTAATACCGTTTCTTACCTTATTGCCGCAAAACTTCCCAAGGTTTGGACTGGTTTCGAATCCGTCCTGCACTTGGACATAGTCGTACGCGCACTCCTGTTCTGGCTCCAGATCGAAACTTTGAAATCTAATCCGGACTTTTCCGGAATTAGGGGCTGTCACAATCCAATTGCAATCCGCTCTGTTTCCATAATTTTGGTCGCCATATTTAGCGTGGGAATATACGAGAGCCGGTAGAGGTCCAGCACTAAGACGCCCTCCGCACACTGAAAATAAAGATAAAGAAACAAAATTAAGACGCCTCAATACTTCATTTAAAATTTTAAAACACTTTTTAGGAAATTTCGGAGCTGTGTTTGTTTCCTTATGAAATTCAAGTATTTATAGCGGGAACATGCATAAAAATTAGTATTATACGCATTTATTTTGACCTTACTTTGTATGTTATTATTTTACAACACATTTCTATTAAAAATAATAATTATAATTTTATTATTGTATTATTGTTTTTAGTAAAAAAATGTTACAATGCTCTTCTCTTAAAAGCAACTATATTAAAAACGATTTAATTCTATATATATATATATATTTTTTTTTCTTCTTCTGATCCCATTAGCTCCAGCACTAACCGATTTCTTCATTAATGCAATGCGCATTAATGCAATGCGCAAGTTTAGACTCTCTTAGTAAAATTCAAAGTTTAGTCTTTAAAGATTCTGCATGATATGTACAGATTTGCTTAGTTTAAAATAAGTCCTTCAATGAGAAATTTTAAATACTGTGTCTTAAATTCAAAATAATCCCTATGTTATTAAAGCATTAAATAATTCGTGGTGTTTAAAACAAAAGACAAAAGAACTTGTCTTACTTTCTCCTTTCTTTCTTTCTAATAAACAGCATTTTCGTCTTCTGATAGTTTATAGTTACCGTTCTCATCAATATGAACACTAAATACCTGAAATTCTAACTAAAATTAAATTAACTGAACCACAGTCTTCCCTTTCAGGAGCACATAATTACTTAATTAATTACATAAATACTTAATTATGTACTCCGCAAATTAATTAAATACCAATAATTTCTGGACACATTTTTTAATGTTGGACACGTTGCGTAAGATTTAGTTTGGTTTGGTTTATGTGATAACGGCAAAACCTCGAGGGCTATCTGCCTAAGTGGAGGGATGCCTTCGCAGAGGACTTTCTAAGGGAAACTGGCTCATATACACGTTACACATGGGGAAATCCATGAAAACGCCCGTGCAGCCAGTCCATTCTCGGGATTCGAACCTCGGACCGAACTACCAGCGTTCACCAACTTTACCGCTCGACCGCTGGTGGGCAACGGGAGATTTAGAATGCTTTATATGTTGTTATAATTGACTTTACTTATAAAAATAAGCCAGGATATTATATGATTTAAATATGAATAAATTAATTTTTTAATGCCATTAACGCCATTTGGTAAGTTGATCTCTAAGTAGAGAAAAAAATATTATCTAACAGAGAATAACAAACTTTGTCAAGTTCTTCTTTTACAAGGTGGATGTACAATTGTGTTAGATGTCTACTGTAATTATTACTGAATAAAATGACTTAATATTCGCAAAATATTTAATATATGTAAAATAAGAGCTGTAATAAAACCATAACTATTATGATAAAACTTGCGAGTACGATGGAACATTCGAATCATCGAATTCGACGAATCTTGCAATAAATTAGAAACAGAAAAAATCGAAAATTCAGACTTCCTTCGTCATTTTAAGCCTGACAAATCTAACCTAAAAAATCATTAAACATTTTTACTCAAAACTTTAGGGAGATCAGATTGAATCGCATCAAGCTGAAGCGTTTCTTAAATTAAACCGATTTTGGTGATTTCAGTGAATTTGGATTACCAAGATCACCTACTACTGGTCTAGAGCTATACTTTTAATTTCCTGGACATAATTTGGTATCTCAGCCACAATTTCAGTGGATTTGGATTACCAAGATCACCTACTAGTGGTCTAGAGTCTATACTTTTAATTTCCTGGAAATAATTTGGTGTCTCAGGAACAATTTCAGTGGATTTGGATTAGTGAGATCACCTACTAGTGGTCTAGAGCTATTCTTTTAATTTCCTGGACATAATTTGGTATCTCAGCCGCAATTTCAGGGAATTTGGATTACCAAGATCACGCACTTGTGGTCTTGAGCCTATACTTTTAATTTTCTGGAAATAATTGGGTGTCTCAGCCATAATTTCATAATTCAGCGGATTTGGATTGCCAAGATCACCTACTTGTGGTCTTGAGCCTATACTTTTAATTTCCTGGAAATAATTTGGTGTTTCAGCAACAATTTCAGTAGATTTGGATTACCAAGATCACGCACTTGTGGTCTTGAACCTATACGTTTAATTTTCTGGAAGTAATTGGGTGTCTCAGCCATAATTTCATAATTCAGTGGATTTGGATTGCCAAGATCACCTACATGTGGTTTTGAGACTATACTTTTAATTTCCTGGAAATAATTTGGTGTCTCAGCAACAATTTCAGTGGATTTGGATTACCAAGATCACCTACTAGTGGTGTAGAGTCTATACTTTTAATTTCCTGGAAATAATTTGGTGTCTCAGGAACAATTTCAGTTGATTTGGATTAGCGAGATCACCTTCTAGTGGTCTAGAGCAATACTTTTAATTTCCTGGACATAATTTGGTATCTCAGCCACAATTTCAGTGAATTTGGTTTACCAAAGATCACGCACTTGTGGTCTTGAGCCTATACTTTTAATTTTCTGGAAATAATTGGGTGTCTCAGCCATAAATTCATAATTTCAGGGGATTTGGATTATCAAAATCACCCACTAGTGGTCTTAAGCCTATACTTTTAATTTCCTGGAAATAATTTAGTGTCTCAGCCACGTTACGTGCTTGCCTGCGACAGCTCTTGAAATAATTTGGTTCCACTTTGCTTCGACTTCAAAAGATTTTGGAAAACTGTAAAATATTTGAACTATGTCCAATTACACTTTGTCCAACTATATTGAGAAAATGAATCTGAAGTTTCAAGAGCTTTAGTTATGCATTTCGTTTACTTAATTTTGTTTGCATTTCCTTAATACATTCAAATCTATTTCTCTCTTTTAATATAAAGTAAATTGTTTTTCATTGTTTCTCTTTCTTACATAAAGGATTTGAGAGCTTTAAAACCATTTTAAGATTTGGATTCGATAAAATTTAAGATTTTCCCAACACTACACTCTTATTATAAACATTTCTTACTTTATATGATTGCAATCAGCAAACATACCAGTAGAATGCGTAGCACGGAATCCATTCCTTTGCACAGATGGATCTGAGCGAAATGCCATAAGCATTGTTTGGGCAGTGGATATGATGGGATGAGGTATTTTGCTGCCACAGAACCTTCCTAGCAAAGGAGAATCAGCGGAATCTCCATCATAAAGTGCCACGTGATCATAGGCACACTCTTGATGCGGTTCCAATTCAAAAGAATCGAAAACCTAGAGAGAAATTGATATTATTGAGTGTAATCTATAAATTCGTTAGTTTTTAAATTCTGAGATTTAATACTCTGCTGACTAAATTACGCTTAATTAAAAAAAAAGATTTAAAATATTGGTAGGTATTTATATTTTGGAAAATATACATTTTGTTCTAACACGTATGTTCAAAATGTTTGTTAAAATGTTATGCTACATGAGTGAATATTTAAAAAAATGGAATCTGACTGCACGAATGGGAACGTCAGGCGCGATGTAGAGTCCAGAAACTTGGGTTTCTTTAATCAGAAACACTTCCTTGTGATGCTGCAATCCCCTTATTTTCCATATTTCTTCTCCCTTGTAGAATTTACTGTTCTTTGGTTGCATAAACTAAGTCCAAACTCCATGCAAATGTAGAACGAATTATTCTTATGCTTGAAAACAACTTCCTTTTCTCCAACGATAGGACAGCCGTTCGTCTTAGAAGCTTGTCAGCCTGTTCAAGTCCTGTCGACGACTATAATTATTTCTTATCGCTGTAAGTCATGTTCCCCAAACTCTATATTTGCAAAGAAAAATGAATGAAAGAATTAAAAAGTGAAAAGTGAGCTATAAAGGGAGTAAACATTTTGAAGAGAGAATGGATAAAATGTGCCGCCTATGCAAACCGATCAATCACTGAAATAAGGAATTCTTCCTGTTGCCGAATTTCTGTCACAGACACTGTAAATTTTTGTACATCAGATCAGTCGTATACGCCTACTCTTTCAAAAGTATATGTTTATGCGGACATCACCAATACAAATGTACAGCTACCGAATTACGTTACAGATATTATCAATAATTACATGTATATATAAAATCGCTATCAACATGCATTAACTGGTTTAAATACTATGTTCATGCAAACATTTCTAATACAGTTATGCAAGTGCTCAGGGTATACATACTTGTGTATAAATGCACACTTTGAAAGCAGATAAACCAGCACAACATATGTTGATGGGGCATCGCTAATACAAACATACCGATACTAAATTTCTGTTACGAATACACTTAACTCGCAACTACGCTGCCAGCCTTCGTTTAGCTTTTAAATGTACCGGGAAATGCGTAAAGGAAACACCAAACATTAAATTTAAAAACTGCACAGAATTTTAGTGTGCAGAACAACTTTATCAAAATAAATAAATAAACAAATCTGAAAGGTTTCAGATTTTAAATTACATCCAAAGAACCTTTTCTTTTAACATTTTGTCTGTTATCTTTATTTATTAAATATCCCGTTCTTCGCACTTAAATCATATAATTCAGTTCAAGAGCTATATCGTAATATAGTTTTAAATTCAGCATATCTTTAGAATTTCCGATACAGAGTCTCGCGCGCTGGAGATAAAAATATTTTTTCTGTGCTACGTTGCCATTGCTCGCTTTGGAAATCCTTGAGTTTGTTAATTAGAAATTCGTTACAGTTTTACAAAATATGAAATCTATCATAAAACGAATTACAAATTTCAAATTTGGGCTTCCACATGCCTATATTCGCAGTAGGATTACGTCACTCAAAATTCGATAGCTCTACGTCCCGTTGTTTTATCACAATGCGAGAAATATACATACATTTATGCAGTTTTTCATTATTTAATTTCTTCAAATATAATGCAGGACTCTAACATTGGGTGGCAACAGCTTGAAAAGTGAAACGGACATTTATAGTGAACCAACGCAAAATCGCAAAACGAAAACAATAGTCCTTCAGGGACAAAGTCCCTTTGAACTAAAAAAACCAAAAAAATATTTTTAAAAATGTATTACATATAACAAAATTACAATGAAATAAGCAATATCCCTTCTCTTTCGCATCGAGAGAGGGCAAAATCTCAATTCCCCAAACATCGAAAACGCCCGTATCTAAGCATTTCTCCTGGAATGCTTTTCCTTCCCCCATGACAAGTTGAATACTACAGCGCTAACAATAGCCTTACTTAAGTAAAGCGAGAACTTCTTTCTTCGACGCTTTGACACTGTGTGAAGTTCCCCCTTGGGACGGGATTGCAACTTCGGGCATCAAAAGCTAAACACTGACAGTAAACAAAGGAAAGGAAGGAACAAAGGAAACAAGGAAGCTACTTTTAGTAGCTTCAAAAGAATGATTGACATGTGATTTAACAACACCTGAAAGCAGTGAGTAATGCAGTAACGTGATGTGGGAAAGCACTGGGTAGGAAATTATTCAGGCGTTTCGGGCGTCCAGCCGATGTCTGAATGTTTGGGCGTTTGGGGCGACTTCAATGCGAAAGAGTTAATACAAATATTAATTATCCTAATAAATAAATTAACCAACTTCCCGTTGCCTTCTCTCAACAAATGCCCAATATCCAAGAGAAACGTTAAATTTAAATACCGTACAGAATTATCGCCCTCATTTTTCCAAGTGACAACAGTGCTGATTTTCAACAGTCAGCAGTCCAGTATACAATTGAATTAAAAACTGTTGCCAAAACCACATTTATAAAAGTTTATAAAAGAATGAAACTATTTAAAATGACGAGATAAAATCGAAAAGATAAAATAAAAATCTGATTCGAAGAATCTGATCGAATTTTGAAAAAAAATTCGCTTCGAGATGCATTGGGTCTTGTCTACATACAGATGTACCTACATACCAAATTTCGTAGCCCTGAGTCTATTAGCTTACGCGCAGAGCGAACGAAGGACACACAGACTCTTTCCTCATGTAGAGATTGCCTGTGTCAACTACTATTGAAATCACTGTTGAAATTAGGATCACTATTGAAAACACATTAATTAGTTCAAAAACATATGTTGAAGCAGACACTTCTAATACAAATACACTGGCACTCAGTTTCTGTTGTAAATACTAATAAATTATGCATAAATATATGCGTATGCACATATGCTCTTGAAAGCGCATAAATCTGAAAAGAACTGTAGAGTCTTAATAAGGTTTATCAAAAATTTTTTGGAACATAAATGCACTTCTCGGGCTTGACAATAATCAGACAACCACTTGTGAGTATGTAAATTAAAGTTGCATTCAATTTCAAGATTTAAACGAGTAAATCCAGTAAGCAAAGACTACACAACTGATTTAACACGAAGTTGGCTCAAAACTTCTCACCGGGGTAACAATTTAAATGTCGGTAACTGTAATGCAAAGCCGAAGAATAATAATCTTAGCTTAGCTAGCTAAACCTAGTACCGTGGCCTAGGGAGGCAGAAACATGCTCAGACTTGCAATCCAAAAACCTCAGCTTAAATATTCTGAAACTAAATTTGCATTTTGTTACGGAAGCGGAAGGAGAAGCGCTAGTGAAGATCGAAATCGTAATAACAACAATTACAGCCTAATTGTAAGAAATCCCACTGATATAAAAATGGATCTCGACAGGACCAATGTTTTTGAGCAATTCAAACTACCCAAAGCCATACAAATTGCCATACTATGAGAGATATCAAAGAAGGCATTCTAAACGCTTCTAGGTATCTCAGAATTACAAAAGCGATTGTGTGTTCCGACCAATGCCATTTTGTGTATTTCACATTTAAATCAATAATGCTTTGGAGGTATTTTCGGTGAATGTTTTATATAATAACAGTATTACAGGAATTCACTTTCCATCATTACATCCCTCTATAATTGAAGATAAAAATTAAAACAGAGAAATAAAATAACGTATTCAAATATTTTTCTTGAACACAGTTCTGCCTACATTAACCCTTTGTTGCATCATGTCCACTCTAGCAGACAAAAGTTTAAATTTCTTTATTCTTCTGTAAATGCCTTAACAGATTCCCTTCCAGTGTCTGTTCATTCTTTAATATTAGAACTGTCGATCATAGATGGCTGTATAGCATCACTAAGTAAAGCATTGCTATTTGGAAAATGGCTGCTACTTCTGTTTCCAAGTTAGTACCATTTCTCATAGCAAACATTGTATAATATTGCTTACATTTTCTTATACTACCATTTTTTATTCATAATTAGTCATTTTAGACATTTTATTTTTAAATGTCAAGTTGAGAAAATTTTGGAGCGGGTAGGTAAAGATGTACCGAAAAGAGTGAATTGAAACCCAAATGGACTGCTTATCAAGCCAAAACACCACTGGAAATGTTTATGTTTGTCAAGGAATTTATAGAACATTTGACATTTGAATCCAATAGTACAGGTTACAAAATCGTAGCAAAATGAATTCAATCACAATCGACGAAATGAAGGCATTTTGGGGGATCTGTATGTACATGTCAGTTTTAGATTTGCCATTTAGAAGATGGTAATGATCACTGTAAACAAGGCAGGAAATGATTTCAAATACAATGACCGTAAATCGTTGGGAAGAGATTTGTATGCATGTTACGTATATGCATGCTGCCCACTGTAGTGAACAAACTGTAGAAATTATTTAAAACGAAATTTGAAGAAAATTATTTTTTTATTATTATTACTAAGGTTATTTTAAGTAGAAAAAATACAAACATTTTCGTTTAACTTCTCTAGATTATTTGTATGCAACAAAGGGTTAATAATTCATTTTTTACCCGAAGGTACTGTACATAATAAAAGGATATGAGTTCAGGATTACTGTATCAAGCTAGAAGATTGACAAATTTTGAATTTAAATATTGAGATTATGCTTCTAAATTAAGGACTTTAGCTTTATTGACAGAATGAAAACACACTTACCTAATTTCTTAATATTTCATTTGCAATATATTCACTTCAAATGTAATGAAAATATTTTAGTTTCTTATAAAGCTACAATTTACCAGCTTGATTCTGTGCCCTGGAGTGGTTTCGAACTTCCACGTGCATTCCTTCCTACTAGGGTATTGGTCCGGATAGTTGGGACTGGCGACAACACCATCGGTCGAAGATATATGATGCACACAAGAACCTGTAACAAACATTTTTAGATTCATTCAAAATTCCGTTGGCTAAACAGACCAATTAAGCAGCTTTGATTGGGGAGATAACCAAAGTGAGTTTATCTATTAAAATGGACTAATTTTTTAGTGTTTCTCGAAATGGGTACTTACACTCGAACTTTGGAACCCATGCCGCTTTTAGCACTTGTTATTCAGATTGTAAGTAATTGTATTATGATTGTATGTTATGTATCAGATTGTATGCTAATTTTATTAACAGTTAAATTTTGAAGTAAAGTTCCTTTCATGTCGATTCTTAACTTCAACTTACTACTTCCGGCCGAAACGTAGTTTTAGAATCACGTCTGAATACATAATGTGGAAGAGCGAAGTATTTAACCGCGAAGTTCTTCGGTCTTAGTGAGAGAGATACCAGGTATTCTGGCTGCATGCGTCCGCCCTTTTAGGCTACTCTCTCGTAAGCTATTATTATTAAGCTCGGCCGTACTTTAGGCCCTTGATAGCTTCGCAGACTATTAAAGTTAAGAATCCAACTCTAGTAGAATCTTGATAGCTTCGGCTACATCTCTTTAGTTAAGATTAGGCTAGTATTATTCTTAGTCTCTTAAGTTTAAGCTGAATTGTCGGCTTTATTGTACACTCCAAGACAGAGTTTTGTTAAACCTTAGTTGGTATAATAAAGGGTTAGGTACTCGTATATCTTGTTTTTTCCTGTCACACGAACTCATGCGATTATTCGCTTATCACTTCTTAAGATTCTTCACTTCCAACAGTAACTTAGAATTACACAGTGAGGAACTCTACAAGATAAAAGTAACCAATTTGTTTGATTCTGAAAGCACTATATCCCATTCGTTCTGTCAGAACATCAAAGAATTTACTACTCCATTTAACTTGGAGTACGCCTACTCTCGTTGCTAATTTTCCGTATCTTTATAATTAATTCTATTCATTGGGTTTGTTTTTATTATTCACTCTACGGGTATTTATTTCTGTCTTTAATTGCCAAACCATTTGGCTTTGCGCTATGTATACGTTGAATGCAAATGGTTTGCAACAGGAATGGGACACTTCAATCCACAAATCCCAACGAATCTTGAAAAATAATCGACTCTTCAAAACTTCTGTCGTCAGGCGAAGCCTTCAGATCACAATCGTATAGATCGTTAGGTTTATCCATGTAGAAATTATGAGAAATGCCCCATGCCCTCGCCTAGATTCAAACACCGGATCTCTCGTTTTCTAGCTGGACGTGCTATGACGTGCAGTTACACCACAAAGAATACACCGAAAAAAGAGTTAAAACGCCTTATAATCTAAAAGCACATTAAACTTTGGAAATGCTGCGCCCAAAGCTTCCCTCTTTTAAGAAGATACGAATATCGGGCACATAATTTGCCAATTTTTTTTTTTTTTTTTTTTTTTTTAATTCTTGCGAAAGGAAACATAAGGGCGTCAAAACGCTACAAAAGCTTGGGAGCTGATGAGCCTATTAACATGGACATGATCTTGATTCCCAGTATCAAGTATCTTAGCAGCTCTGCAGTTGTAAGTCGTAACAGCCTGCATGCTTTTAAACGAATGCTTAAAACTACAAATTTTTTATGTCTCTTAATTTTCTGGAGGAAACTAAGAAACCCATGTTCAAAATTTACCTACATTAACACTTGAAAAAATTCACCTTTTTTTATACTTGCTCTAGTTTAAAAAGAAACTATAATTTTTTCTAAAAACTGAACGGCTTTTAAAATAATTTTTCTCAAATTATTTTTAAAAATAACTTAATAATTCAAGAGTTTTAATTATGCACTTCACTTACCGAATTCCATTTGTATATTCTTTATCAGTATATAGTATATATAACAGAATACATAAATTTTTAAAAACTGTGGTTTCAGATTTGTTATTCATTAGACTTCGATTTCAGATTTTTGTTTAGTTAAAAGCTTCAATACAAAGCAAAGTTTTTTCGCCCCTTTCTCTTATTTTAATTACCCCCTTTCTCACATTATTCTTTTAAGAGAGAATTTCGAAATTCTAGAGAAGGGCTTCTTAAAGCCCTTCTCTAGAATTTCTCTAGAATATTTACGAAAATTTTGTGGGACCCTATAAGCATTGCGCAAATCCGACACACGCGTGATTGAAACTGTCGATTGTTTCACTTGTACTGTAATATACTATTGCAGTTTTAGATCATTAACTTTAATTTCTAATTTTAAGACATAGAACAATGTGAAAATTTTAAATAAGTAACAGAGTTACGTGCAAAGCAAATAAAATGAACGTTTATATTATAAAACGAATGCGTCGAAACGTTTTCGTTTTTTCAAGTGTCTGTATTGTCTTATATTTGGTGTAAAAATATTTAGTAATTGTAAAATTATTATAATAAGTTAAAGAAATATCAAAACTGCTAAAATTTTTTGCGACCCCCGTGAGGTGGTGACCCACAGTTTAAGAAACTGCTCTAGAATATTTTAAGATTTGAATGAGGATTTATTCCACGTCTAGTTTTTCATAAATTCATTTTTAGAACACATTCATTCATCTAATCCCATATTCTTCTCAAACCACTACACTAGAAAGTATGTTTCAATAAATTAAATTCATATTCCTTTAGGCCCACCAGCGGCCGAGCGGTAAAGTCGCTGAACACTGATAGTTCAGTCCGAGGTTCGAACTGGCTGACTGCATGGGCATTTTCGTGGTCTTCCTCATGTGTATGCGATCCAGTTCCCTTAGAAAGTCCTTCACGAAGGCATCCCTGCCCTTAGGCAGATAGCTCTAGTGTGCTTTGCCATAATTAAACACACCACCATATTCCTCTAGAGAAATTAAGTTATTTTGAAAGAGGAGACATGTAAAATGAGCAATGCCCTTGCCGGGACTCGAACCAGAACCTCTCAAATACGTGCCGAGTGTGCTAACCATTACACCACGAAGGCATGCAGAAAAAAAGGGAGAGAATACCTTATATTGCGTGTAATATTGCATAATTAGTAATTTTAGAAACATATATTTATAATATATTTTATACCTTCTTTGCAATCATGCCCATTGGGATGAAGAACAAAACCATTGTGACAAGAACACTCATAACTTCCAACAGTGTTTTTGCAGATTTGCTGGCAGCCACCGTTTTCTGAGGCACATTCGTCTTGATCTGAAATATTTAAAAGAAGAATATGAATATATATATTTCAAATAACACAACATCTTTTAAGAAAGATGATGAATACAGATTTTGCGTTAAATAATCAAATAGTCACTAGACTTGGACTAAGGACAGCAGATTTTAAGCGGAAGGGGGTGAAGGTGCAGAATCCTCCCATAACTTATAACAACTATATTTTTCTCTCATGAAAGCAAGGAAAATTATATCTGAAGCCCGCCTTCTTAAAAGAAAGCCGCATTTACGGCCTCAGACTGTCTTAATAAGACTATACCTCTAATTGAAATTAGTAACAAAGAAGCCCAGAAGGGATTAAACAATTAATTTCGTTTTAGCATTTTGAGTTGAAAACTTTAAAAGGCTGTATCACTTTTCAGATTTTTGCCACCAAATATTATATCCTTGTGTTATATTTAAAGAAATTAAATAATGAAGAATCTACATATATGTATGTATGTTTCTCGCATTGTGATAAAACAACCGTACCTAGATCCATCAAATTTTGAATAACGTAATCCTCCACCAGAATATGGGCATCTGGAAGCCCTAATTTGGAACTTGGAGTTAGTTTTATTATCTATTTCATATTTTGTAAAACATTAACGAATTTTTTATTAGCAAACTCAAGGATTTCAAGGCGAACAATTGCAAGGTTGTAGAGAAAAATTATTTTTATCTCCAGCGAGTGAAACTGTATCGGAAATTCTAAAGATACGCTCAATTTAAAACTACTTTGCGATATTGCTCTTGAACTGAATTAATAAAGGTAACAGACGAACGATTTCAAAGCGAGAAATGGCAACACTGTACAGAAAAAGGGAAAAAAAAAAAAATATCTCCAGCATGCGAGACTGTGCACCGGAAATTCTAAAGATGTGCTCTTTGCTCTTTTTAAATTACTTTGTGATATTGCTGTTGAATTGAATTTCATAGTTTAATTGCGAAGAACATGATATTTAATAAATAAAGGTAACACGCAAAAAGTTAAACAAATGCCCGTTTGGGCGTAGTATAAAACATGAAAACTTTCAGATTTTGTTTTCTTCCTTTTTTCATAACTGCATCTATTGCTTTTAAATACTTTAGTTTGTTAATCAGTAACACACAGATTAAATATGAGAGAATTATATTTTACACTTCCTCGAAGGGCGACAGACTCGAAGGAAAAGTGAAAGAAAGCATTAAAGTGAAAAAATGCAAAATCGTGTTTCGAAACTAATCGCCCTTTTGGATTAAAATCACTAAAAACTAAATTTATACTCCTAGCAAAACCTGCGTATAACGAGATGTTGAGTTTTGTTGAAAAATTATAAGTTTTATGTCTCACTTTTCTTTTAATCTTTTAATGTTGTTCCGGAATTGTATGACTGCTCTCGGCAATTTGTGTTGATATCCCGAGGTCGATAATATGTGAAGCAATAATTTAGTGATAATTTTTCCAATATGAATGCTAAATCTAGAACATGTATCATTCTTAAAATTCTTCATTCATCATTCTTAAAATTACCCTCAGTTGTTCTTCGTGACATATATACTTAGACTGCAGTTTAGAACTACTAAGTAAATTTTTTTCTAACACTATTTTCTTAACGTAATACAAATTTTCATAAAAATATATAAAACTTCGTTAGAAACTGTTATAATTATTTCATTTTGAAAGATTTTGCTAAAATGCATAACCACCTTATTTAGTTTCACTACTCATTGAACATTTTTACTCAACAAATCTTACATTTGGCATAAATTTAACCCATTTTAGAAAGGTCCCATTCATTGAGTTTTCCAGTTTTTTTTTAATCTTCCATTTCAAGGAAGATTTTTTTTTTGCTGGGATCATAATTATAGAAACAAGCTTTCCAAAATCTTTTCCATCTTTTTTCTTCGTTTTCAAATACACATTGTACTACTTATGCCTTAATACTGAGTTTTGGATTTATATACATAATTCCTTCTACTTGGAGATAAGATTTAAGACACTGTTAACTGAACTAGTAATTAAATACTGCTAACTGATAATTAAATCCTGCTAACTGATAATAAATATTGCTAACTGAACTAATAATTAATACAATGTCTGACCAATTTCTCGGAACTGTTCAGTCTATTACGCATCGGGAAAAAAAAAATTTTGTTTTCAATTTCGCTTCTACTTCTTAGAGCTGGAAATTAGTTTAAACTGTTATTTTGTCTTACGTGACTTACGTGACTTGTGATTACGTGACTTAAAGTTCTTTCTCGTTATTTAAAGTTCAACATTTTAAGGTAAATGTCTGTCTAAAGTAGACATTTTTCTTAAAATGGGTAACTTTTACCCATTTCAATTTCATAAATATCTTACCTTAACAATTAAAATAAACTTTTGATCATTTTCACTGTTTGCTACTTATTTTTTTCTACTTCAGCAGTTAGAATATAGAGTAAATATAAAAATTAAATGTTATTTATTATAAACTAATATGATGGCCTTACCGCCTGTTTTATAGCATCATCATATAAAATTTAGTAGTATTTTACATCTTTTATCAAAAACAAATAATAACAATATTAACCTGTGAAAAACAGAGCAGCAAAACCGCTCTTTTGTACTGAGTTGTCTGAAGTGAATTCTATTCTCAAGACATTTCCCTCAGATGTTACGATCGCAGGAAGTCTTGAGCCACAATAGGTACCTTGTTTCTTCCATTCCTCTTCTACGGACGTTCGACTTCGAATATCTACACTGTCGTATTCACATTCTTGCTGCCTCAGGAATAAATAAAATGTAAGGATTATATTCAAAAATTAAAATACACAAAACAGTTATTTACATCACAGGATCAAATCTAGATGGCGCCACGTGCTCAAGGATTTCTTGCCCTTTTTGCAATATGAAACTTTCGACATGTTTACTTACAATATACAACATTTAACATTTACTTTATTACAGTATCAGCTGATAAGTAGATGATATACGAAGTTAATGTAAATTTTAATATCGTATTCAGGGCACTTTGTTTAGATTGTCCAACAAAATTTGATAATTTAAGATAATTAACTGCTGAATGTTGATTTTATTTAAATTGTTTAATGTACATTCACAGTAGAATAACAGAAAGTAGAAATACAAAAATTTAAGTTTTTATTTTTCCGAAGTGTAGTCCAAAATTTTTAATTACATCTACATCTGCCAGTAAATTGTGATTGCTATTTTGTCTGGCATGACAAAATAACAATCAAAATGGCGAGCATACGAATTAAAATATTTCTTATAGCAAGAACACGAATTTAAAATAATAATAATAATAATAATAATAATAATAATAATAATACTCAACTGTGTAAGCTCTTGACAAAACATTTTATTTAGAGCTGTTAACAATTATTAGTTAATAACTGGACAACAAACTGAAATTGCGCCGCCGAATTGCTATAGATTCCTCAGAGCAGTGGTCTTCAAACTATGTTCTACGGAATCCCGGTGTTCCGCAAATGAAACCTCAGGGTTTCGAGAGTCGAAATAAAAATTGAAACGAAAATTATAAAGCTCTCACACTAGTTGAATAGTGTTATCAACTAAAAAACATATAGCTTAATTTTTGAACTTAACATGTGGTCTCCATATGTCAATGACGTTCAATGTTTTGCGAAACTAAACAGTTTTCGAATGGAAAATGAACTGAATTTAGACGACTGCGCTAAAAATTATACAATGGAGCACCTTTTTCAGTAAAAGAAAACTATAAAAGAATATTTTTCAGAAGAAAAATCTCAAGTATTGTAGAATGCTAAAATTAGAATGCTCGTTCGAATACTAAAATTAGAAAGCTTGCACTGATGCAAAGGGAATAACTCATCGACGTATCAGCAGATTCAACGTCAAAATCTAAATTTAAACAATTTAAGCAGTTCCTAAATTTCTGGTTGTACATTCATTGCAGAATTAGCAAACGTTTTCCTCATAGCTGCAAATATTTTAGTGCCATTCGGAACAACGTATTTAAGGTAAAAATGGCAACAAAAACAAAACGTAGAAATAAATCAAATGCAGAATATGAAATGCGACTGCAGCTAACATCAATAGAGCTAGACTTAAGCAGTTTGTTTAAGAAAATACGAGCACACTCCTGTCACTAAATATAAGACCAAGTGTAGGTAACACCTTTCCCACCAGCTAATCCTATTAATAAGTAAATTACATTAATTAGTCCAAAGAGGCTTTGTCCCTGAAGGACTATTGTTTTCGTTTTGCGATTTTGCCTTGAATCACTATAAATGTCCGTTTCACTTTTCAAACTGTTGCCACCAAATGTTAGAGTCCTGTATTATATTTGAAGAAATTAAATAACGAAAAATTTGCATAAATGTATGTATATTTCTCGCATTGGGATAAAACAACGGTACGTAGAGTCCATCGAATTTTCAATGACGTAATCCTCCTACGAATATGGGCATGTGGAAGACTCAATTTGAAATTTGGAATTTGTTTTATGATCGATTTCATATTTTGTAAAACTTTAACGAATTTTTGAGTAGCAAACTCAACGATTTGAAAGCGAGCAATGCTAACACTCTAAGGAAAAAAAAAACTTTTTATCTCTAGCGCGCGAAACTGTGGAACTGTATATCCGGAAATTCTAAAGGTATTTCATTTTAAAATTGTTGGTACTTTTCCGTTTCGCCGGCGCAAATCTCGCCAAGCAGACTTTGTTGGCGACAACATACAGTATACACATAAAAAATGTTAATTCTAAGAATTTTTTTTTTTTATTTTGAAGGCATAAACATTTTAATATGGTTTAAAATTTTGTAAAAAGCCAATAAATAAAGACAATAAATTTGTAAAAAGACATTAATTTAAGAATTTACTATGATTTCATGGTTCAATATCCTGATTCGCCGGTTCGTATCACGTGACCCCAAGTGATCTTATCTCTCGTAAACTACGCTACTAAAATCTAATTCGCTCAGTAATTATCTACATTAATTTCAAGTTAAATCTTAATTTGGAATACAAGTTTAAATGCATGAATTATTTCAATTCGTACGAATAGCTTACTCAGAAATTATGTAAAACCGCAGTGCTTTACTTCGCTAGTGCATTCTCATTAGAATTGATGAATTTAACACTTGATTTCGCCTTCGGATGAGCGGTGTAATTGCGTTCTAATTGACTTAGAACTAATTGACTTATTACCGTGAATTGTCTTAGGGGATAAAATTTAAATATCGTGTAAAAATTCTATATTATTGTATGCTAGTATTGAAAGAAACAATCTGATAAGAAATGGCTTCAACTTGTTTTGAAACTGAGGCGTAAAAGGTTACCAGCTAAGATATTCCGTCTGGCATCAGTTAAACCATTATTGGCGACTTTATCGTTTGCGCCGTCAAAACGGGAAAGTACCAAATTGTTTTGCGATATTGCTGTTAAATTGAATTTTATGGTTTACCTGCAAAGAACATTTAATAAATAAAGGTAACACACAAAAGGTTTAAAAAAATGTCCCTTTGGGTGTAATGTAAAATCTGAAAGATTTCGGATTTTGTTTTTTTATTTATTTATGAAAGTTTTCATTTAATTTTATTTATTTTATTTAGTTAATATTTTCCTAGTCCGTTAATTATTTTTTTAGTTTTGTTTTTATATTACTTTTCTTTATTAAAATATAATACTTTTCTTTAATTGTCCTTACATAAAGTACTTATAATATATTGGTGTACTTTAAATATTATTTTAAGATATATTTTTCTAAAGGTAAATACTCAACACTTCTAAGGCCTCTGTGAGTCGACAAAGTTTGAAGACCACTCTTAGAGTATGTGACGAAAAATAAATATTTCAAGAACTCATGAAACAGAACGGTGATTACTGCAGGAAGACAGCGCATAAGTTTATGCTAATCAGCCAACAATTGTGATTTGAATCTGTAGCAAACCTTCTTTCCGTAGTCCTCATCAGAATGCAAATTAATTGAGAGAGTACTTACGCCAAGGTTTGAATTTTTTACAGTTAGAACTTCCGGAAGCCTCGCTTGCAGTTCGCCTAATGGCCAAAGTTTATTCTAAAATGGCCAAATTTTATTCTAACTTTGGCCATTTTGCTAGCCAACGTTAAAAACGTAACATTAAAATACTTGGATGAGCCCATGTAGACCATTTTGTGTAGTTTCCGACTACGTTACGTGAATTAAACTTACGTTATTTTAAATACTGTGAAGTGTAAGCACAATTGATGCTTTCTGTCAAACGTTAAGTGTTAAATAAGGATCTTATTTTAACCTTTGCAGGATTTTGTCATTTTGATGTAAATTAGAGCGACAACTTTCTGATCAGTCTATTGAAGGTCTGAAGGACATTGAAAAAACAAGCTTCTACACAACTAAGCAAGTAAAACTCTACAACAGACTCTTAAGCCTTTGGTTCAAGTTCCGGTCACATGAAAGACATAGACGCTTGTACTCGCTTGTTATATCCGCATATCTGGGTATGACTGACTCTTTGCAAGACTTGAGTGACGTGACTCTTGAGTTGGATGGTCCACTGGGGGCTTCGTCTGAAAGTTTGCAGTCCACAACGAGAGCGAATTGAACCATTCTTTTATTTTATATTCATTGTTATAGGATATCAACTCCTAACTTATTAATTTGCAGAAGTTTACAAATATAGCTTCCTCGAGTTCTTTAACTTCAATAACGTGCAAACAGTATCAGTTTTTCACACTTTGAAGAGACATTTTAATAGTTCATCTTTTAATTCACTGATAACACATTAATACACAACACACGCATTCAAGTATTGATATAATTATACGTATAAAATGTCCCCAAATTCTAGATAGTTATGAAATTCCATAGAAGAATGTCAAACTTTGTACCGGACAATCTGTAAAATCTGCAGACTCAGCCATATCTTTGAAGCTATGTAATTCTGACAGGCCTAAACTCTGATAATTAGATTCCCTTTTATAAGCACATCAAATACGTCATTTGTTATTGAGAAAGGGAAAAGCTTTAACTTTTGCTACCCTTCCTGCCAGAATTATATAGTTAAAATCGTACCAGTTACTTTATATTCAGGAAACTGTACTCTCAATTTTCCTTTCGGTTTTCCTACCAGAATATCGAACGTATTTAAATAAGATAAAAAGAATTGGTATTTAAAGAAAGTTTTAGATTGGTTGGTATCCTGTAGAAGGCATGGATGTAAATTATCTGTCTCTTCATAGGAGGCAACGGTGGCCCAACTATTAGGTGCCTTCATAATAAAGTGGCCATCGCTTCCGGCCTTAGTAGTGGCAAATGCTTATAGTAGCTAATGCTCACCATTGAAAATTTAAGCAAAAAATAATAAATAAAGAATTGTTTAGTCAGAGTATGTTATGTCTGCTAAATGCCACTTTACTAGTTGAAATTCTAAAATAGCATTCTGTCTACGGCGTTGTTTTTTTAACCTTACCAATAATGCTGTCACTCTGATGTAGAGTTAGAATTATTGGCAAAATTAAAGCCAGCTTGCAAGCTAATTATATCTGTGTAGCCTTTGGCTAATTTAATACTTAGTTAATATTTGAATTCCTTACTTTTGAGTTTACACCATAAATGCTGGCTGGTTTAGTATGCACTAAAAGTGTCTTCTGTTCAATTATTTGAGTTCTTAATAAAAGAGTTTTTTACACCCTTCTTTTTCTTACCCTTCCACGTTACTGTTTGCACTATCGGACACAGCGATAAATAGTGTTTAGTTCCACTCAGAGCCTTGATTTAGTGCATAATACCAAAAAGAGTGAGACTCTTCTCGCAAACTGCACTTTAAGCTTTCTTTTTACTTCCTTGTTTGAAGTAAAAAGGAAGTATTGTAATCGCGAAAAGTTTCAGGCAGCATATTTCAACGAAAATACCCATTTTGAAAGCTATCGAACGCAATTTAATGATGTTTTTGCGTGATATCTGTACGTAAGGACAGAATAAAAACTCTTCTCCACCAAAAAAATTATAAAACTGCTTTAAAATGAATTCTGAAGAGAATTTTTGTGGCGTCTGTACGAAAGTATGTATGTACGTACATACGTACGTATCTCGCATAACTCAAAAACGAGTAGCCTCAGAACGTTGAAATTTTGTATATATGACTGCTATACCATGTAGATGTGCACCTCGTATTTTGGTTGCGATCGGCCGCACCAAACGTATATAAATATATTTATATATATATCCACTCTGTTACCCGGCTCAGTGATCTCAGTTTCTTTACTCTTATATGTTTGTAAATTGTACATTTTTTGCTTTAAAAATGATTGAACTGTGTTGTTCGTATCTTCCAGTTAAGGTTTTTATGCTTTTAGTAAATCTGTATGCAATATTTTTAGAATTATCAAGAATTTTAAAGTTGTTTAAGTGCCGCTAAGCCTAATAATTTTTTTGATACGGCCATTGCTTGTTTACATTTGAAACAGAAGGATAGTGGATTTGTTGCCAATCTAGAGAAACTTAGCTTCGCAACAACAAAGATAACGCCTTCATTTATTATTGCGAATTAAATCATGCTTAAACCTTTCTGGGATTTTTTCCAGGAGATAAGTGTTTAAGATTTACTTCGTAATTTTTAATATAGATATTTTGAGTTTTTATGTATTTTTGCCTTGTCGCGAAGTGAGAACTGAATTAATTGAATGAGAAATACTCAATCGTCTGTGAAAAACTGTTTCTTTTTTGTTTTGTTTGCTTAATTTCTTTTATTCATCGTTCTAGCTTTATTATAGTATTTGAATAGAACATGTGGCAACGATTAGATAATTTTTTAAGTGACATAAATTTTGTGCATTCTGAGTTGTAATATGAACGAAATATAACACTGTTAAGTAAACCTAGCGCCAGAGTGTCGCTATGTTAAACATATAGAGTGAATTTTAAAGAATGCCTTTATTCTTTGTGGTTTATGCGCTGTCGGCGAGTAGATTTAATTCAATCCAATAGGTTTAAGTGAAATGCAAGAGAAAATGCTTTATAATTTAATATTCCGTACAAGGAAGTCATGTGGTGTACACATCAGATTTCTTAACTTTAAGCAAACTGACCATTATCTTGAAGAATAAAAAAAAAAAATTAGTTACTTAAAAATACTCATCCTACCTACATCCAAAGCCTAATCGAAAATACCTTCCTAATAAGCTGTTATTATCAGAATAAAACCTCTTTGCCTGATGAATACAGGGTAATATGATATTAAATATTTTCAGTTTATCTTTAGATAATGACGACATGTCATCATAAAGCAATGATTCATTAAGTTAACAATAAGACGACAGCAATTATAAACTTTCCATTAATATTCAAAGGCTATATATTTCTTAAATATTGCAACTTAATCTGCAATGGGGTAAATTTATCTAAAGTTACTTAAAAGCTTCTTCAAAATATATTTAAAAGATTCTCTTTTTTTTTTTAATGCACATATTGTATTATCGTTTTCTATTGTTTAAACCAAAGAAGAAACTGAAAATACCTACATAGCTTTTACACAAGCAGAAAGATCAAACGATCCAGATAACTGCAATATTACATACCTGGAGTTCGACTGCATGTTTAAAGTTCTAACATTTTTTACGGTAGTTGTAAACAAACATTTAGCAAGAAAAATAGATTTAATTAAAAAAAAAAAAAAAAAAAAGGAAGACATTTAGCTATTTTAAAGCGAATTAAATTAGAAGATTCAAAGTTGTTAAAAATAAAACACGTGAATAGTTAATTTTAGCATATTTCATTTCTTCTTGTTTTATGATTTCTTCCACATTTGCATACCAAAATGATAAATACCTCATTTTTTTCGAAGACTACAAGTCCTGCTGTTTCTATCAAAGGCTTGTGGACTGTATTCTTTACATTTTAACTGTTTTCTTTAAAAACAGTTTAACGTATTTGTAGTTTATTCTTAATTTACTTATGTATTCATAAATACTTGAAAATAACTTAAAAATGCGAAGTTATGTTTTATAATAGAAAATAAACCCAATTAGTATTGGATAAGACTCATATGGCAGGAAAAATGGAATTATTTTCTTGGAGAATCAATTTAACGTATCACATTATCGATTTTATGACGAATAAATGCCTTACTGAAATTAATGTGCTTGTCTGAGTCTCTTCTAGACGCGTAGTTCGTTTTATCCAGTATGCGGACTACTTACTGTGCCATAACGCAAAATAAAACTAGCGGTGTTTCGTGTTTCTATCAGACTTCCTGCCAATACCTTGCGATACTTTTACAGATTATATAATGGTAATATATATCCTTCATAATGACAAGCTACCTGGTTATTTCGTAAAAGAAGACGGAGGAAATAACTGAAAAATATAAAATAGCTGAAATAGTACTCACGTTAGTTCCTTCCAAATCGAAGTGAGTGAAGTTGAGAGTGATGCGAAACTGCGGCGGTGCCATTATCTCCCAGATGCATTGCTTGTTGGATGGATAGAGGTCGGGAAATGAAGGACTAGTGATAGTGCCTTTCTCGCCTTTCAAAATGCCCCCACATGCGTCTGTAAAAAGAAAGGAGCGTTTCTGACGGAATACTGAACTAATTTCACTATAACTTTCATGCTTTTCTACACTTATAGAATTAAATTTTAAACATTTCTCTTAACTGCAAATTAATTACTACATATTTACACACACACACAAAGAAAAAAAAAAAGAATACCAAAGGGAAAGTCTGAAAGCTTTCAAATTTTATATTACGCCTGTAGAGACATTAGGTGTATTTTGGAGCAGGCATAACGAAAAATATGGAACGCCTTCCCCGGGAATCGAACCACGGACCTCTGGAATACCGACCCGGCGTGCAGAACCACTACACCACGAAGGCACGCCAAGAAGGTGGGAGAAATACCTTATATACTCCCCCTTCTAAAGAGCGACTGGGATTTTTTAAGGGACCCAATCGCCAAATCCTGGGTGTGGAGAGTCACCATCCGTCACCCTTTTAGTTCGGGCGCCACTGTAGAGACATTAGGTATTTTATTTGGAAGCAGGCAAGGTGAAAAATGAGCAATCGCCTTCGCCGGGAATCGAACCATGGACCTCTGGAATACCGGCCCAGCTTGCAGAACCACTACACCACGAAGGCACGCCAAGAAGATGGGAGAACAACCATATACGCCCAAAAGGGCGTTTTAATAGCGTTTTATGTGTTACCTATATTTCTTAAATTTATTATTCTTCGCACTTAGAACACATAAAATTCAATTCAACAGCAATATCATAAAATATTTTTTAAATAAATTAAAAAAATTCACATAAAATTCGATTGAACAGCAAAGTTACAAAATCTTTAAAACTAGCATATCTTTACAATTTCCGATACACAGTCTCGAGCGCTGGAGATAAAAACGTTTTTTTCCCGTACAGTGTTGCTATTGCTCGCTTTAAAATCGCCGTGTTTGTTAATCAATAATTCGTTATAGTTTTACAAAATTTGAAATAGATAATGAAACAAATTTGAAATTCAAAATTCGGGTTTCTAAGTACCCATGTTCTGTTGGAGGACTACGTTATTCAAAATTTGATAGCTCTAGGTACAGTTGTTTCTTGACAATGCGAGAAACATTCATGCATATTCTTCATTATTTAGTTTCTTTAAATATAATACACGGCGATGGTATTGGGTGGCAACAGTTTGAAAAGTGAATCCACGCAAAATGGCGTTTTGATATTAATAGCCCCTCTGAGCTTAAAAAAAAAAAAGCAATTTTAAATTTACGTGTAAACAGCAAACGGGTGAAAATAGTGTTAAGTTATAATTTTGTAGACGGAAATCCGCTGATTTTTCCATTCAACGAATTATCAAAATCTGATAGATATAACAATACACTATTCGGTAATGATATTTGAAACCATAAATATACATATATAAAAATTTTTATGTTTTTTTACAATTTCCCATTTAAAGTACTTGTGTAACATCTTATTCATGAAAAGCTATGTTTCATATAATTTCGCCGTTATGAGTTTAAACCAATTCGGTACGATTTATATGAACTCATGATAAAAACCATGCAACTTTATATTATAATAAAGCCGTATATTAATCATATGACATCAATTTACTAAAATTTACTTTACAAACTCATTAATTATGCATGAGACACTTTAAAAATTCCGTACAGTTTATAACAAAGACAACTTTTTAAATATCAGCCTGGATTTTAATTCATGTTACACTCTTTTCACTTCAGGATACCTTTATTATTATAATTCTAAATCTAAGGAAATTTAAACTGAAAGCCCACAGTAAACACAACTAATTTTATTTAGTAACGTTAACATGAAAAAAGAGAAATTGGAGAATGTCGACATTCTTCAGTGAATTATATTCCATAGAAAGGTAAAAAAAAAATAAACAATCGATTATCTCTAATTAATCTTAAACTTATTTTGAATTTGAAACTATGTATTTTCAAGTTATATAATTTTAAGTGGTTCTCTTAAAATTGAGTAAACTTACTATTAAGGAAAGGCATTTTTGAATTCTTTTTCACTAAAAATGTACGTATGTTTGCAGGAAAGATTAACATAGAAAAAAATCTGATGTGTACACCACATGACTTCCTTGTACGGAATGTTAAATTATACGCATTTTTTCTTGCATTTCATTTAAACTTATTGGATTGAATTAAATCTACTTCGCCGACAGCGCATAAACCACAATAGAATAAATGCATTCTTTCAAATTCGCCAGCGACACTCTGGCGCTAGATTCACTTAACAGTATTATATTTCGTTCATATTATAACTCATAATGCACAAAATTTATATCATTTAAAGAATAGAATTATCTAATCGTTGTCACATGTTCTATTCAAATACTATAATAAATAATAAAGCTAGAATGATGTATAAAAGAAATTAAGCAAATAAAACAAAAAAGAAACAGTTTTTCACAGACGATTCAATATTTCTCATTCAATTAATTCAGTTCTCACTTCGCGAAAAGGCAAAAATACATAAAAACTCAAAATATCTATACTAAAAATTACGAAGTAAATCTTAAACACTTATTTCCTCGAAAAAATTCCAGAGAGGATTAAACATGATTTAATTGGCAATAATAAATGAAGGCGTTATCTTTGTTGTTGCGAAGCTATGTTTCTCTAGATTGGCAACAAATCCACTAGTCTGCTGTTTCAATTGTAAACAATCAATGGCCGCCATAAAAAAAAAAGGCTTAGCGGCACTTAAACAACTTTAAAATTCTTGATAATTCTAAAAATATTGCATACAGATTTACTAAAGGCATAAAAACCTTAACCGGAAGATAAAAACAACATCAATCATTTTAAAAGCAAAAATAATTCAATCATTTTTAAAGCAAAAAATGTACAATTTACAAACATATAAAAGTAAAGAAACTGAGATCACTGAGCCAAGTAATAGAGTGGATATATATATAAATTTATTTATGTAGGTTTGGTGCGGCCGATTGCAACCAAACTACGAGGGGCACATCTACATGGTATAGCAGTCTTATATACAAAATTTCAACGTTCTAAGGCTACTCGTTTTTGAGTTATGCGAGATACGTACGTACATACGTTCGTACAGACGCCACGAAAAATTCTCTTCAGAATTAATATTAAAGCAGTTTTTTAGTTTTTTTGGAGGAAAAGAGTCTTTTATTCTGTCCTTACGTACAGATATCACGCAAAAACATCGTTAAACTGCATTCGATAGCGGTCAAAATGGATATTTTCATTGAATTATGCTGCCTGAAACTTTTCGCGATTACAATACTTCCTTTTTACTTCGTACATGGAAGTAAAAATGGTTGTTTCATTTACCAAATAAGTTAGAAAGAATTCATTAAAAGAAGCAAGAATTTCAAAATCCCTTCCAGAATTTGATGATATAGTTAATTATAAAACAATATGTTTGTGAAGATTAATGTTTTCTTAATCTAAAGAGGAAAATAATTTTCAGCTTTTATTTACGGGCCAAGATTAAATAAATAAATCCTAATTATTCACACTCTCTAAGAATGTCAATAATTAGAAAATAATTATTTAAAAATTTCTCATTTACAAAAATTATTCTTCACTTAAAACTAACTATTAAAGCTAAACTAGCATTTCTAAAGAAGTTATCTGCTTATATACATATAAATAATTTTCTGTTTACTTGGAAGTAAGATGACACACTTTCTTTTAATTTAGTTGTTGTTAATTGATGGTTAATTGATTTATCCCCTTGATACGTCGATTAATCTGCTATCAATGACAATAGCTGCTTTTTCAATAATTCAAATATATACTTTTGGTTTTGGTATTTTTTAGATTAAAGATTTTTCTTTGCAGATTTTTATGTTTTTAAACAATCAAAGTTAAATTACTATTTAAAATACTAATTTAAATCCTGACTGATTTTTTTTTTTTTTCATTCATGGTTTTAAATTGAACTTTTGTTCCTTGGAGATGGTACATGGAAAGTTTTCGTATTATAAATTATTATGAATTATATATATATATTTTTATGCTTATATATATATATACTTTAAATTTACTTTATACGAATGGCATAATATTTGTTTTATATATTTATATATTTATATATATATAACAAACATTATGTCATTCGTATAAAGTAAATTTAAAGCTAATTTAAATTTTTGTATATCTTAATAACCTTTTGTTTATATGAACTACCGACATATTTTTAAACTGATTTTTCACTTTGTATTTACCAATTATCAGTCAAAAAATTTTTATAAACATGTAGTATTCGATAGCGTCGAGGAATTTCCTTCGTGCATTTGAAATTTTTTAATTTAAATACAAAATATTATATTTCCTAAGTTTATTTTTTCGCATTTTGAAAAGAATGTTTTCAGATATATGAAGAAGACGAAATAAGACTATTCCTTAATTATCGCGGATTTTATGGTGCAGAGTTTATGTTTAGTTTCTAAATTGTTATTTTTACGTTAATCATCTTTACTATCTTCCACATTTCCATTCTCCTGTCAGAACGTAAATTTTGAGCGCGCATCTTATTCATATGAGGTAGGAAAAAGAGACTATTTAAAGGAATGTTTTAAAGGGTAGAAATAGAGCGTGTTCTGTTTGCCTGGAGGCCACGTTGCTAGCATTCTCCGACGTTGCATTATTCTGCCCATTAGGCTTGTTTCAGTCTTAAGAGTTCTCCTGCATTCGATGTTATCAAAGAACACCAGATTCTACAATGGATGAAAGCTAATTCCCCTTAAAACGTCAGCCATCTTCTATGGGATCAACAATAATTAATTTAATTTTAATTTGTATTTATTAGTAATTTTAATACTTCAGTAAGAATTCCATTACAGTTTATAACTTATACTGATTACTTTTTTTTTCATAGTTTAATCTCCATCTTCCGAGGAATTAATTAGCTTTCAATGAGGTTCATTTTGCAGTATTTTTTGCTCTTTAATTCCCAGAGGGTAATCGGTACTAAAAAATTAATAATTAGATTTATATATAATATAGCTATAATTTTTGTACTTTTCCTC